GCTTCGTTTTCAAGGACTGAGGCAGCTTTCCTGGGAATATGTAAAGAAAATCCCCGAAGGTTTTCCAGAGCCAGGTTCAGGTCTCAGGAGGGCTTGGGCAGAAGTCAAATCATAGGCACGCACATACTTTGTAGCCCCAAGACTACTAAACCCGCTGAATTGAAAGGATTCAGTGGAATAATTTACCTGCGAGGCAATATTGCACTGCCCCCTAAGCACCCGACGAGAACAGCCCCGTGGGATCAGTCTCACCCTCTGAAGCCGAGGAGGACAACCTTCCCTTCCCTTCCCTTCCCTTCCCTTCCCTTCCCTTCCCTTCAGGCAGGACAGTCGCGTTAGGAAATTCCAATCCTTGCTACTTAACGGCCACCTAATAGTTTATAGGTGTTCCAATCCTGTTGAGAAGCACCGAGTTTGAAGTCCATAGACGGTAATATGTTGTTTGTAGGAGATTCTCTGCATACTGACTTGGCAGCCAGAATCACTTAAATAGGACTTACTTCAAGTAAAAGGACGCCATTCGGCAATTGTGGGTGTTTGTATACTCACGTGTATAGACTGCGTTCTTGCAGGGGATAGAGAGAAGGAAGTGAATCGCTTCTGAAAGCGAGTCCTGGCGCGGGGGGGGGGGGGGGGGGGGGGAGAGGGAGAAATCTGAGAGTATCTGGCTGCGATCCTAAGCCAACCTACTGGTACTCAGAATCGCAGCCAGATCGGGACCTTGGATAGGAACGTTAGAGTCGCATATGCTGCCGTTTCGAATCTGATCTAGATTTTTTATACTGTGTACGAGTGATTGGCTTGATTGGGCTGGGGAGGGCTGTCACGGGGAATTGCATTATTTCTCACTCTTGAAAGTGAAATTTGGGGTGGACTAAAAAAATCCAACCCACTGAATTTCTCCTGAGTGCTGAAGAGGGAAGAGAGACACAAGATCCCTCCGCCAGCTCAAGTTAAGTTGTAGCTGTCAGATAACAAGCCGCGAAGGTCCTTCGCCAGAACAGATGTTTTCAGAGAAAACACCAGCTTTGGTGTAAGAAAGCAAAAGCTTTCTAGGGGGATGGGGCGAGAGGAATAGACCGATTGTTCGGGGGGAAAGTAGAACTGGGTTAAGGAAGAATACACATCTGCAGTCTAGCCTCAAGGCATCTTGGGATTTTGAAGATCAATCTCGAATTTCGATGTTAGTTACCTCGTTACACCTTGGATCCGAATCTTAGTTCACCAGCCACCCGTAGCTACTGCGGGTCGCCGTATTCAGGAGCTGCTCCACACTGGCGATCCTGAGAGATGTTGTTTATTAGATTCGGTTCTCCCACTTTCCCTCGCACCCACACTCGCATCCCAGAATGAAAAAGTGTCAAGCAACTTGTACAACTCTGTTCAGAGGCTGCCGTTCGGAGCACCTGGTGCCCCGGGGACTGTGGCAAGCTCCTCAGCCCGGTCTTCAGGCAAGACTGAATGACCGAGGCAAAGTTTAAACGGGATGGCTGCAGTTTTAAAGCAACCCCCCCGCCCCCGCGAAGCTGAATGGGGTTGGATGCCGTTCTCGTTCACTTCGGCGCTGTTCTTCCAAGTAAACCTGGGTAGGAGAGCGGGCCGCGAAATCCTCTTTGACAACAGGGATAAAGAGGCACAGAGAGAAGGAGAGAAAGGGGGGTGGGGGGAGCAGAATGCGTACACACAGCCAGGGAGGGAAGGATGCAAACGCCAGGAGTTAATAAATCAAGAACGATCCCATCCCAGGCCCCTACTATTCGGTCCTTTGGAGTGGCTGTTGCGTTTGGGTTGTTTTACTTTGCACGCGTCTTCGCAGGGGTAGGCCTTTTAAACCCCGACTCTTGGGAATCGGTGGAGCTTGCATCCGAGCAAAGATGTTCAGGGCTGTGTTGTTTCTGGTTCCCTCTGAAATCACCGAAAGCCTTCCCTTGCTTCCCAGGTTGTGTGCTCATGTAGACTGTGATAAGGTGAATACGCTTCCCCGGCAGAATTTTGCTTGGTGAAACCTTTTCTCCTTTCCCGGAGGGGGAAAACGCTAAATCGCAAAAGGGAACTTTTGTATGCTTATTTAAAAAAAAATACTCTCAAGGTTGTACCGGGCTAACTGAAAAAGAGGGGGGAAATGTAATTGCAACCCGCTCTGCAGATGGCGTGGGGGAAGGAGCCGATCTTTTCGCATTTTCTTCCAAAATGCAAAAGAAGGTGCGAACGTGGGGCTCCAGTTATTTCTATAACGGGAAGGAACTGCGTTTTCCTCTCTCCGCAGTATGTTGCTTTTTAAAAAAAATAGTCTTGGAAAATCTGGGTGAAAGAGAGACAGAGGGGAGAAAATAAGGCTCCGAAATGGGTAAAAGATGTTATGGTGGGATTGGGCGGGGGGGGGGGGGGGG